CCTTTTCTCTGGGCAAGCATGCACATTCTCTCTCATTTCAAAAAAAGTATCTCAAGGACATGGTGATTATAATCATTTTTATTGAAATTATGCCCCCAGTATTTCTAGGACGGAAATGGTAGTCATTCTGGAATACTAAGGGAGACTTAATCTACAGGGCTTGACACTCCTGACCTGATATGGCCACGCCCTCCACATTATCATAACCCCTCCCACGGCCCTCCTACTGGTGAAGCACCCATTACCAGGCACAGTGACAAGACAAGGTGACAAGAGCAACCTCTAATCTCACTCAGCGAGCTCATCTTAAAAAACACTGATGTATTTAAAACCATATAATGATCATCTCCAAAAGCCCAAAAGCTCCTCTTCTCTGATCTAAGCAGAGAAAAAGAAAATAATCCTGCTCCTAAATAAATGCCCCTTGTAAGCCCAACAGAGAATGAGCAGTGAGTGAGGCCCTCCCCGTCATCTCTTCAGAGCTGGGTCACTGTGGGTATTGGCCTAAACAGATGACCTCTGGGGGCTCAGGGGATCCACAAATGCACATATTCATGCTTATGACATTCCTAGGAAAATCTGCATATTGAGGATATGAAAAGTTGACTCCTATGACATATTTTTTCCAGTTGTATTAAGAGGTAATTATATATTAAGAGGTAATTATATACAATTAATGTATATGATATGGTAAGTTTGGCCATATGTACACACTCATGTTACCATCACCACAATCCTTGTAATGAACATTCATCATCTCCAAAAGTTTCCCGGTGTCTCTCTTTTTTTTTGTTTGTTTGCTTTGTTTTTATTTCTGTGGTAAGAACACTTAAAATGAGATCTATCTTCTTAACAAATTTTTAAACACATAATACTTTATTTTTAACTATAAACCCTATGCAGGAAAGCAGTATGGAAGTTCCTCAAAAAATTAAAAAATAGAACTACTGTATGATCCAGCAATCCCACTTCTTTGTATATATATATATATAAAGGAACTGAAATCAACACCTTGAAGAAATACCCACACTCCCAAGTTCATTGCAGCATTATTCACAAAAGCCAAGACATGAAAGAAATCTAAATGTCCATCCACAGAGGAATGAATAAAGAAAATGTGGTAAATACAAGGGAATGATATTCAGCCTTAAAAGTAAGGAAATCCTGCCATTCATGACCACCTGGGTGGGCCTGGTGGACATACTGAACAGGGAAACCAGTGGGTCACAGAGGACAAACACTAAGTGATTCCTGTTATATGGGCTATTCAAAATAGTCAAAGATACAGAAGTAGACAATAGAATAGTGGTTCTCAGGGGATCAGGGGTGGGGAAAATGGGGGGTTGCTCAATGGGTATAAAGTTACAGTTGAAGTCTCAGAGATCTGCTCTATGACACAGTCCCATGACCTTTCTCATGACCAAATCTTTGATACTGGCTTTGACATATAGATGAACTTCTAGAAGAATGACTCAACATTCAGTTGTTTTCAAATGCTTCATTATAGTGTCAGGCAAATAGTGGCTGTATTCCTAAAACAAACTGTAAATTAAGTTTGAAATAAAACTGCAACTGATTGGGATGTGTGGAAGGTCCTTCCACCTTTATTACATCATAAAATCTTCCGTTTCTCCTGAGTCATATTTTTAAAACTTACCGTGTGGAGACTTAACTCCTCATAATTTAAGCAGATCAGGTAGAATTTGCTAGACACTGATGCATGCATTAATCTTTTCTAAATTTTTACTTTTTAAAAACTCTGAGACATTCAGAAATCAATAAAAGTAGAATCAATTATCTTTTTATTTCCTTGCATGTTCAGGAAATGAATCAGCAAGCGCGGCCGTGAGGCAGTGAGAGGCTGTTCTGCTTTTTTATGAGTCAGCTATACATGCAGTACAACGTCGGAAAGAGTTGTGGGGATGTAAGCTGCCAAACTCTCATTTAAAATATATCAGGCAAACACATGCATGGAGATTTGTAATATCTTACCATTATGAGGCATTTTCACACACATTACCATATTTAAATCATCCCAGAACACTGGGACCAGTATTTCTGTCTTGAAGAATTCAAGTTACAGAAAGATGAAATGGCTTCATAAAAGATATACAGAGACCCCAGGTAGACTCCTGGTTCCATGCCCAAAGCTCTTCCCCATTTTACTGTTTCATAACATAAACCTGCTATTGAATTTCTTCTCCTCCTAATGAAATATATTTTCACAAATGGTTATCACAAATGCAGGCTCCTTGTAAACATTCTTTTTTGATGGACTTTAGTTCTTAATCATACAACTTGAAGTAATCATATTTGGCCAGATATGACTCATTTCTCTTATAAATTATGAAGAACTAAACCTGATAAATGTTGTTGGGCACTTAAAAACCATACACTTTAGGCAACTGTAACTAAGATTAATTAATTCTCTGCAATATCAATTATCATAATGCATGAAACTATTCTCAATTACACTTTCAGATCATCACGTGTATTTTCCTCATCCTAAAATTATCTCTTCCTTTCTCTGAGCACACTTCGGATTATATCACCCTAATTAGGGAATATAAATGAATATGAACATTGGCTTAGAAAATATAATTAGAAAACGTAATTTATATGTCATATGTACAAATACCTTTTGTTGCTTTCTTGCAACTAGCTGGATAATCAAAATTGGATGGATAGAAATAAGGTATTTAAATAATGTATATACATACATATACATATATAATGGACATATATGATGAACTCACATAAACATATATAAATGAATCCAAACTAAAATTTCCAATGACAGACTAGCAATAGAAGGGTCATTCTAGATGTTCCCCTTTTATATCTGTATCTCCCTTCTCTGACAGTGAGAAATCTAGCTCACATTATACTCAATATATTTACTTGATTACCCAGTCATAAAATACATAGAAAGTAGTTTACAATTGTCAACCATAACACTGCAAACAACCAAAAAAAGCTACCAAGAGCTCAATATTTATTTACAGCTTTTTTAGAATCTTTAATCTGAGATCATAGAGTAAAAATACTGATCTCAAAAGCTACTCAGATGGTTTTCTCGCTGAACATTCAGTGTAGTAATGTTACACATTTGAAATATATTACATTCCATTTTTTTTGTTTATTTTTTTATTTGATGGGTCTCTTGCATGTAGCCAATATTATAATAGCTCCAAGAAGTCAAAAACTATTTAAAAGGTACACTTTGAAAATTATCATCTCTTCTATCTCATTTCCATCCTCACCTGTAGGCTGTCTATCTCATTATTTTCTAGGTTAACCTTCCTATGATTCTTTATTGTGGAATAAATAGATGCATGTATACTTTTATATTTTCTTTTTTCCTTAACCAAAAGTCAAGGTACTGTAGATACTTTTTCATACTTTGTTTATGGGAAATCACTCTATCTAATTACAGAGATCTTTGTCATTCTTTTATAGCAGCTACAGGCTATTCGACTGTGCAGACATTACTACAGTCTATTCAACATTCTTCTATGTTCGGCTATTCAAGATGTTCCAATATAAAAATATGGCAATAACTATAGTAGTGCAAATGTATTTTTACATTGTTGTAAATACACCTTTAGGATAAACTCCTAGAAATAATTATAAATGCATATGTTGTTTTCTTAAATATTGACGAATTCCCCTCCATAAGATTGTACCAGTTTATATTCCCATCAGCAATAAAGGAGTGTGCTTACTTTCCTATTGAGGTAGGGCAGGGACATGGGACAAGCCTCATGATTAGCTTTTCCTGCCTATAATGAAAAATGCTGAGATATAAACAGTGTAGTAAGAACAGGAGGGCCCCCATCTGACGGCTAAGATTCCATTTTAAAAACCAGGGAGTTAGGAGGTAAGATTCCTAACACATTCTTTGGTAATCAGACCTTAACTCACCCTAGCTCAAGGCAGAGCAGGCAGACCTAACTGATCTGTTCCCAGTGCTTGGGGAAAGCCACTGTCTCGGAGAGTAACAAGATCAATAAATTCCTTGTGTTAAGTTTATCTTACAGAATATCTAGGGAATGACTGTGGATAGTGAGATAATATCTCTCATGTAGATAGACATCATGAAACCACAAGTCAGGCCTACACCCAACAGTACCCCACCCACCCTTTGCCCCATTCTTGAAAGCCTTAAAAGACAGAATCCTAAGCCCTTAAGTACACCTCCTCTTTGAGGTTGCCCGCACTCCCCCTTCTTCAAGTGTGTACTTTTAAATAAAGCCTTCTCACTGCTCAACTTATTGCATTTTTGTCTCTGTGCTCTTCCAGTGGTAACTGTCTTTGTCACTTTGCTATTTCATTCCGTTTTCCAGATTTAAGCACAAGTCTTCACTCTGTCTCTGTTCTGCTTCAGATAAGTAGGAAGGGGCTACTGGGACCTCTGGTTTGGGCTTGTAAGTTTTCATTGCCTGGGTGACATGGAGAGAACTACAGCTATGTGATAATGCTCTTTACTATCCTGCCTCACAATCTCCCATCTTTACCTTTTGGAAGTTCTCAGAACATAATCTCACTCTATCCAGTGCTCTGAGGCTCCCCCACATTCTGGGGAGGTAAGGACTTAATTCCCACACCATGCAGATTCAAGCAGACATTAGACACCAGCTGACCCTGGCTTTAGGAGTTTGCAAGGGATTTGCCCCAGGCCAAGCAGGAGTTCAGTGAGCTTCTCTTTCCTCCCTCTGCTCTTCCTTGCTCTCTGCAGCCTGCAAGGCAGCTGCCATTCCCTGCTACTCTCATTTTAGTGAATTCCTTCCTTACCTACACTCCTCCGACCTGCTCTAACATTCTTTCTCATTCAAAGTTAAGATCCCTCCCCCGTCCAGGTTGAGGTTTCTCCTACTGCTTAATCTAGTGCACAGGGACAGACCTCCCAAAAGCAGCTGCTTAACACTTCACTTGGCTAAAATTAAGGTGTAGGGGGCTGTTTTCCTTCTGGGGACTCTAGATAGAACTCATGTCCTTACCTTCTCCAGCATCTAGAGGTCTCCTGAGCTCCTTGGATCATGCACGGCCCTCTTCCTCTGTCTTCAAAGCCAGCACCATCATGTCTCTGTTCCTTCTTCTGCACTCACATCTCCCCTTCTGTAACTGCAGCCAGAAAAAGTTCTTCACCTTCCAGGACTCAATGTGATTACACTGGACCCACACCCAGTTAATCCAGAATAACCTCTCCATCTCAAATTCTTTATTTAATCACATCTGCAAAATCTCTTTTGTCATGTAAAGTAGCACATTCAGATTCATGGTGAGTAGGGCACCGACATCTTGAGGGGCCATTATTTTTCCTACCACATATATTGTTATCATTCAGTGGTTGAAATTTCTCTTTCTGGGGTGATTTTATCAGAGTTTCATCTAAATACTTTTCTCTCCTTCCCTCCTTTTGATGGACTCTGGTAGACTTCCATTTCCTGATTTCTAAACCCAAAAGCTCAGAGGGTTGGTGCAGCCCTGTTGCAATTTGGACTTTATTTTTTCAGAAGTTATTTGAAGCTCATAGTTTTTTCTGTCTCCTACTAATATAATGCTGAAATCATGAGTCAAGTGCGGTTTTACTATAGTCCTTGTTGAATTTTATGTTTTGGAGGGCTTATGTATGGAGAGATTTGGATTCAATTGGCTGCAGAGTTACAGGTTTTATGACTGCTAACATATGATTTCGAATATTTCTAAAGCTTCTCTTAGGACTTTGATACTGTTACTACAAATAGCGATAGAAGAATGTATCTTGAAAACAAGAATACCACGTATTACCACTAATTACCAAAGATGTCAGTGGAGAATAAAGTTCCAGAACTATTTTGAAAAATGAAAGGGATAAACTATTGTAGCAGTCATGCAATGAGAACTAGTAACTACATGTGCTACAGGTTAATAAACAAACACCCACTGGAAGACAAGGCCTCCTAATAAATTATATTTGTCACTTAACACCTACTCTCTACAACCTAGCCTTATCTGCAGCTGCTGTAATCAATAGCGTTTTGTTGCTGGCAAGCATTGCTCTTTTATAGCCAGTAAGAAAGGAACATAAACCTTTAAAATCTCTCAGTATCTATGCTTGCATGTCTCACTGCCTACTATATTTGCAAACACTGGTCACACTCTCCCTGATGGCTTTACAGATGCTTACTCCTTTCTACAAAGAACTTTTCAATACTTCATCTCTTATGTTGGGAAACGGCCAGTGGGTCAAGTTTCATTAACCACATGGACACACTGTATAAAAACATTAAGGGAATTTTAGGCAAACTGGTTTTTGTAATTTTTTACTAACTGTATCTTTTTTAAAAGCTAAGTGTTAAAATCAAACGACACAAAAGGGCACACCACGAAAAGCAGGACTCCATCCAAATTTAATCCCTCAATTCCTAACTCCAGTTACTGGTTTCTTATTTATTCTTCAGAGTTCCTTCTACAATGACATGCACACATTCCCCTTTATGATACACAATGGAAGTAAATTACACTACCAAATTTTTGTTTAATGTAACTACATACTTTGTGATCTTTCGTTACCAACCTACAAAGCTGACTCATATTTTCACAGCTGAATGGCATTACTCTGTGTGACTAATCCAAGATTTACTTAAACACTCCTCTATTAATGGATTTACATAATTTAATTTTTAATTTGAATTCTTATTGTTATGCACATTTATCGACTGCAAGCCAAGTGTTTTCTTTGTAAGAAGTAACAGTAAAGACCTGGAGTATAAAATGGGATCTTGTTTGCAAATAAATAATGAAAACATAGGGACCGTTCCCCACATACAAAGAGCTTAGAAGTTATCACTGCCATCCTTGCAACAAAAGAAGCCAAACAAACGGAAAATCATGGACCCACCAGAGACTTGAGATCACTGGTCAAGGTGCTTCTGTGAAATCAAGAGACAGGCCAATGGAGAGGATTACAGGTGAGTTCAGCTTACTCTCAGCAGAAGTCACTGGAGCCAGAAGCTAGTAGAAATACCTAAACGGTAATTTTGACAAATTGCTGGTGGCTGAATGTGGACTAGCATGGGAGCTAGAAACTTCTGTGTGGCTGCAGGGACCTCTGCACTTCCATGGGTTTTACTTTCAGGCACCTACCAGATTCTCCTAGTAAAGAGCCAAGAAAAATCTCCACCTGTCTGTGAAAAGGGAAAGAAAAAGTGACCATTTTGAAATACACCAAGGTAATTCTCCATAAGGACAGCCTGCTCTCCCAGCAAGGACATTTACCTGCCTCCGGCCACCTCTAGTCTTGTCTCACAGAAGGCCAGCCATGGGGTGGGGGGGCTAAGAAACACTTGGGAAGGTCCCAGCCCAGGGGACACAGACCCACTAACAGACTGGGATTCAAGCATAAGACTGTAGAAGGCTTCCCCTCCCCTAAGCTCTACCACCATATGAATAGGACCTCCATGTAATAATTGTAGACAACAGCTGGAAAAGATACAAGGTGCAGAACTCTGTTCAAAGAAAAGTCCCTTGGGATACCCAAAGACAACAGGAGAAACAGAGAAGAAAAAAGACATTAGAGGAACTTGAAGCCTCTGGTACCTATAGGTCCAGGAAACTTTAAACACAGTCCAGGTCCTTAGCAGACTGACATAAAACCTCAGAGTAAAGGGCTTTTTATCTCAGTTCTTACTACCCCAATGTCTGGCTTCCAAGAAAAACTAGAAGGCATGTTAAAGGAATTGAATCGATAATTAATAACCTTTCAAAAAAATAAAAGCATTGGCTGAGATGGTTTCACTGGTGAATTCTACCAAACACTGAAAGAAGAAATTATATGAATTCTCCACAATATATTTCATAAAATATGAACAAAGGAAACATATCCCAACACATTCTATGAGGCCAGCATTATCCTAATACCAAACCCAGACAACCATATCGAAAGAAAGGAAAGCTACAGACCATTCTCTCATGAACACAGATGTGAACATCCTTGACAAAGTGTTGGCAACTTGAATCCAACAATATACACAAAGAATTGAATACCAGCCAAGAGGAATTTATATGATTTATCACCAAGATCAGCAAAGTTGGTTCAACTTTTGAAAATCAATGTAATCTATCACACTCACAGACTAAAAAAGAAAAATCATATGATCATATCAATAGATATAGAAAAGGTACCGAACAAAGTCCAACACCCATTCATGACAAAAACCCTCAGCAAAGTAGAATCAGAAAGGGCCTTCCTGAACCTTTTCCTCAACATCCACCAAAACCCTACGACTATTATACTTAATGATAAGAAGCTGTACATCTTCCCCCCGATATTAGGAATAAGGCAAGGATTTCTTGTCTCATGAACCCTATTCGATATCATTCTAAGAGTCCTAGCTAGTAAAAATGAAACAAGAAAAGGAAATAAAATGAATCCAGATGGAAAGAAGACATAAAACTGTCTTTGTGCACAGATGACATGATTGTCTTTGTAGAAAATCCTATGGAATCATGTATGTAACAGATACTATTGATTTTCACTCCGTGACCTACATCTAAATTTACCTGTGGTGGCTGTTGACACATCCTGATACGGGAATAGCTTCAATCCCCAACCCCAGACTTCTCTGCCTGCAAGCTGTTCTCTGGTGCTATGAGAACTTACTCACTACTGGGTAATACAAAACTTCCAGGGATCTAATGCATCCAAGGGCCAATAAGGGGCAAACAGCAGCAAATAAATACCATTTCTCCAGCCCTTGGAACAAATCTCAGGCATATTCTACAGAGCTCCTCAAAGGAATTAATTCCTAGCTGTCCATACTGCTAACCCACACTTTAGTGTATCAGTTACTGGTGTTCCTCTCTTCCTCAATCAGTATAAAACATGATGAAGATAAGACGATGAGAATTATATCATCATCTCAATAGATTCAGAAAAAAGCATTTGACAAAATTCACCATTCATTCATGGTAAAAATACTTAACAAATTAGGCACAGAAGAAATATATTTCAACATAATAAAGGCCATATATGACAAGCCAACAGCTAACATACTTAATGTTGAGAAATTGAAAGGTTTTCCTCTAAGATGGGTAACAAAACAAGCACCCCCTGTCACCACTCCTATTCAACATACTACTGGAAGTCCTAGCTGGAGCAATAAGGCAGAAAAACAAATAAAAAGGCATCATAATTACAGAAAAGAAAAAGTGAAATTTCTCAATTTACAGATCACATCATTTTACATATAGAAAATCCCAAAGACTCAACCAAAAAAACTGTTAAATCTAATCAATGGATTCAGTAAAGTTGCCAAATACAAAATTAACATAGAAAAAGCAGTAGTGTTTCTACATAGTAACAACAAATTTTCTGAAAAAGCAATAAAGAAATTAATCCCATTTACAATAACATCAAAAACAATAATATACTGAGTAATAAATTTACCCAAAGACTTGAAAGATCTCTACTCTGAAAACTATACGACATTGACAAAAGAATCAAAGACAGAAATTAATGGAAAGATACCTGTGTTTATGGACTGGAAGAATTAGTATTGTTAAAATATCAATACTACTAAAAGCCATCTACAGATTCAATAAAATCCCTACCAAGTTTCTAATGGCATCTACTACAGAAATAGAAAAACACTCTTGAAATTTATATGGAATCACAAAAGACTACAAATAGCCAAAGAAATTCTGAGAAAGAAGAACATAGCAGAAAGCATTGCACATCCTGACTTCAAGTCATACTATAAAGCTATGGTAACAGTATGGGACTGGTATAAAAACAGGCAAATAGACCAATGGAACAGACTTGAGAGCCCAGAAATAAACCCAATCACATACATTTAGCAAATTGACAAGGGAGCCAAGAATACTCATATAGCAGGGAGTCTTTTTAATAAATGGTGCTAGGAAAATTGTAAATTTGCATGCAAAAGAATGTACTTTGACTCTACTTTACATCATTCACAAAAGTTAATTAAAAATTGATTGAAGACACAGAGGCAAGACTTGAAACCATGAAATGCATAGAAGAAAACAGTTAAAAAAGCTTCTTGACATGGATCTGGGTAATAGTTTTTTGAAAATCTCACCTAAAGCACAACCAACAAAGCAAAAAATAACAAGTAGGA